CTTTCCTGTCCCTTTATCACCCCTGGCCACCAGTCCCTGGGACTCCCCCGGGATTCCCCTAAATCCAGTACTTTCTCAGAGGACTCAGGGGACGTGGAAGCCTCTCTGTCTCCCTGCCCCCAGTGGAACCCTATGAACGGTCCCCTTCTCCAGGACCGGCAGGCTTTCCCTCGCGGGTTCCCGCCCACCTGCGAGGTGATTCCGGTCAGGAACCCCTTGGAACCCCTGAAGCAGATGGACGGAGACTCCAGACACAGAAATTCCCCTTGGGTCAAGGAGTGGATTTTTCAATTTCCCGTTCTTTTCACTGCTCTTGCCTGGGGGAGGTGGCAGGGAGGGGGGTGTGCAAAAAAGGCAAAACCAGACCCCTAAAAGAGGAACCGAGAAATGAGTGTCACTGAGCAAGTCCTTGGCCGGGACAAGTTCGGATGGGGCAGGGCAAGAGGAATCAACAGGTAAAGTGGCTTGTGGGGGAAAGATGAGTTTGATCTCTGGGACCCACAGGGTGGAAGAAGAGAATTGACTGTCAAAATAGTCCTCGATTAGCTGGCTCAGCAGTAAAGACCACTAGCTACTCTTCCAGAGGACCCAGGTTTGGTTCCCAGCACCCACACAGCCGGTAACAATCCTCAGTAACCCCAGTTCCACTGAGGATACAACGCCCTCTTCTGACCTCTGTGGGCATTACACAGACACAGGTGCACTTACACACATGCAGACAATACACTCATACACATAAAATAATAAATAAAATATATTTTTTAAGTTATCCTCTTAGGCAGGTTGTGGTGGAGCTCGACTTTGATCCCGGCACTCAGGAGGCAGAGGCAGGGGGATCTCTGGGAGACCCTGCCTCAAAAAGACCAAAAAAAAGAAAGTTGTCCTCTTTTTGCCACATGCAGACTGTGGCACATACAGATAAACACACACAATTTTAAAAAAGTAATTAAACATTTCAATAATCAAACATTTAAATAGATGAATATTTAAATAAATAAATTGGGGGGAGTTGAACAGGGTCTCCCTGTAGCACCAAATGACCTGGAACTCCCTATGTAAACCAGACTGGACTGGAACTCACAGAGATCCACCTGCTTCTGCCTCCCAAATGCTGGGACCAAAGGCATGTACCAACATGCCTGACATAAAAGAATTTTTTAAGTCCTAATCTATGCCAACCAGCTAGGACCAAATTGTCACATCAGCTCTCCACCAATAGGCAGCAAGAACTATGAAATGGGGCATGTTTTGTTTTAAGAGCAGGTCTCATGTAGCCCAGGCTGGACTGGAACTCAGTATGTAGCCTAGGATAACCCTGAACTCCTGATCTTCCTGCCTCTGCCTGAGTGCTGGGATGACAGGTATATCAGGTTTATATGGTGCTGGGGATGAACCAGGGCCTCATGAGTACCAGGCAGATGTTCTGCCTATTGAGCTAAAGTCCCACACCCCAAACACTGTTTTTCTTTTTTTAATTTCTTCCTCCTCCTCTTCTTCCTCCTCCTCCTCTTCCTCCCCATCCTCCCGATCCTCCTTTTCCTCTTCCTCCCTCCCCTCCCCTTCTCCCTCCTCCCCATCACACTGGGGAAGGAACCCATAGCTTTGTGCACCCTAAACAAGTGCTCCACCAACCCAGCCTCGTCCCCAGCTCTCTCCCCCTCCCCATTTTTTCCCTGGCTGGGGTTGAAACCCACAGACCTCCACCTTCCCTTACACCCTATCACTGCCCCAACTTCGGAGATTTCTAATGCAACTAAATCAATGTCTGGAAACAGCAGCCCTTCCTTCCGTTTGATCCTATGTTGAGCCTCAAGGGGAAATTACAGAAAAACCCATCACGAGGTTGGAGGCTGGGCACCGGTATAGGAACTGTTACAAGGTGTTAACAAGTGTGAGGCTCTGCCCAGCCACCCAGCACAGCTGCAGGAGTGATCGAGCTGTGCAAACTGTACCTCACACACACTAGATCAGTACCTCATACACAATCGATCATTTAGCAGTGACTGTCTGAAAGACCCTCCCGAAGTTTCCTCCACTCACCAAGCTCTGGACCCATGCCAACCAATGTGACTCTTGCATGTAGCCAGCCCTCTGCCTGGAATAGCTTCCCCCTTCCCGCCACCGCTGTGCAGTCAACTGATTTCAGCCTTCTCCGTGTTTACATCCGAACTGTCGAACTGTCATAGAAGTGAGTCAAAGGGGCAAATCCAGCACTTACACTGTCTCCTGAAACTCCCTGGCCACCACACTCAGACAGCCCTGATTCTCCAACATTGTGACAAAGCTAAAATTGCCTGTGTCAAGCTGTGCCTTGCTCTCCTCAGAACCAAAAGGCATCCTTATTTCCCACAAGAGAATGGAAAACTGCTGGAGATTCTGCATAGCACCCACACAGAACACAGCATTCATAGAACTTGACTGATCAGGGCTTAGTGATATAGCGTGATCCCAGCACTCAGGAGGCTAAGGCAGAAGGATTGCACGTTCCAAGGCAGCCTGAACTACATTGCCAGACACTGTCTCAAAGAAGGGAGGGAGAGAGGGAATGGGAGGGAAGGAGGGAGGGAGGAGGGGAGGGAAAGAATGTGGAAGGAAATTCAATACTGAAATTGAGATACTGAATTTTTTGGAATTCATTTTTATTTTCTGTGTATAAGTGTTTTGCCTGCATGTATGTAGGTACACCCATGTTGTGCAGTGCCCACAGAGGACAGAAGAGGGCATCAGTGGTCCTGGAACTGGACTTACAGATACTTGTTAGCCACCATGGGGTTGCTGGAAACTGAATGCAGGTCCTCTGCAAGAACAGCCAGTGCTCTTAAACACTGAGCATCTCTCTAGTCCTGAGATATTGAAATTTTTTAAAGATAGGGTCTCTTGCAGCCCAGGCTGGCCTCCAACTCACTATATAGCCAAGGATGACCCTGAATCATCCATATCCTCCTGCCTTCTGCTGGGATGAGAGGTGTATACCACCACACCTGGTAAATGTGGTGCTGAGGAATCGAACTCAGGGCCTCCTATATGCTAGGCAAACACTTTACCATTGAGCCATACCCTAGCCCATCAATATTGAAATTGAGGGACCAGAGAGAGCTGGCTCAGCAGTTAAGAGCACTGGCTGCTCTTGCAGAGGACCCAGGTTTGGTTTCCAGCACTCACATCGTGGCTAACAACCAACCATAACTCCAGGTCCAGGGGATCTGATGCCCTCTTCTGGCCTCCACGAGCATTGCACACATGATGCACTAACATACATATAGGTAAAATACTCATATACACAAAATAAATCAATTACTTAAGTTTTTATTTATTATTTTTATTTTATGTGTACGAGTGTATTGCCTACATGTATGTGAGTGCACCTGTGTCATGCAATGCTTCAGAAGTCAGAAGAGGGCTTTGGATTCCCCTGGAACTGGAGTTAAGGATGATTGTTAGCCGCCATGTGGGTGCTGGGAATCGAACCTGGGTCCTCTGCAAGAGCAGTCAGTGCTCTTAACCATTGAGCCATCTCTCCAGCCCCAAATTATTTAATTAAAAAAAAAGAAGAAGATAAGCCGGGCGTGGTGGCGCACGCCTTTAATCCCAGCACTCGGGAGGCAGAGGCAGGCGGATCTCTGTGAGTTCGAGGCCAGCCTGGTCTACATAGTGAGTTCCAGGACAGCTGGGGCTACAGGGAGACCCTGTCTCAAAAAGGCCAAAAAAAAAAAAAAGAAGAAGAAAATGGGCCAGGCATGGTGGTATACACCTTTGATCCCAGCACTGGAGAGGCAGAGGCAGGCAGATCTCTGTGAGATCAAGGCCAGCCTGGTTTACATAGTGAGCTCCATTCCAACTGGGGCTGCAAAGAGGCCCTGTCTCAAAAACAAAACAAACAAAACCAAAACTAAATAAATAAATGAAAGAAATTGAGGCCCTGAACCCCCACAGTCCAGCCACAGCCCTGTCCCACCTTCCAGGATCAGGAATCTGAGAGAGTAAACATGTTTCTCCTGGGAACTGAACAGCAAATAAGAAAGGTTCAGGACACCCCAGAGGCGGGGCTGCTGTATCCCTGATCTTCAGGGCCCAGAGGCCCTGAGATAATCTGTTTATCATTAGAGCTGCAGCCCACAGCCAGTTTCTTCCTAAGATGCCAAAAGTCACAAGAGTTGAGAGGAGAGATAACACAGAAAATAAAATCCCACCCTAAGAGCCAAGAACCTCATCAATCACATCACCCCAATGAGGTGGTTGTTTTTCACTTGTTCCTTGTTGTGAGTTTTTTGGGTTAAAAAAATCTGTTTTATTTTATGTGTATGAGTGATTGGCCCATATGTATGTAAGTGCTCCCATGTGTGCTGTGCCCACAGAGGCCAGAAAAGGGTGTCAGATGCCCTGGAACTAGAGTGACAGATGGTTGTTAGCCGCCATGTGAACTGGGAACTGAACCCAGGTCCTCTG